GTTTGTCTGTGACCAAGCTTTCCATACGCTCGCCAGTGCAGACAATGAGACGCAGAGAATCTTGCGTCCATGACTTCGCTAACCATCGCACGGTCAAGGCAGCTACGACGTGTTAGCAACATCGAACCTACGCTTGTTGGAGACATATCATGAAAGTACCTTTAGTTTGACAATCTTGACTTAGAAATGGCGGGTCGCAAATGATGACATCGAACGAGGCCTTCATCTCAGCTGGTAGTTGGATCGCCTTCTCGAAGTCGTAGCGCACGAACTCCTTGAAGACGGCAAAGCGCTCGTCGAACTCCAGCAATTTGATCTGCGGCCGGCATTTGACTTCACCCGAGTTCTAATAAAATCAGTTTTTCTCGTCTTGCGCTTCCAGAGTACTCACCAGTAGATTTTTCAGTTGGATGAAAGCACTCGGAGCAGACACGACTGCTATCCTTGTCTCATCTGTCGCACCATCCAGAAGCTGTCGCGCAAGCACCATAGCGGTCTCGTCGCTATACCAAAATTGACTTGCATTCCAGTCTTCGGTGAAGGCGTCCATGGACAACTTCCCTTCGAAGTCATCTTCGGCTTGCCCTTTTAGTTCCTCAAACTGCTTTTGTCGTGCATCCCGCTCGCCATAAAATTCTTTCAGCGCGGCAAGAGCATCGCCGGAGAGCTGTCTTCATTTGTTAGCATTTGGGCTGCGATCAGCTAGTACGACCTACGGTATCTCATCGTCGTCTTCGATTGGCGACATGTTGACTTTGACCCAAGACAAGTTGCCGCACTGTGTACCTGAAAAGTGATGAGTTGGTTAAGTCGTATCCCACTATCGATAACAATGTGCCTCGGCTGTGCTGGTCCAGCTGTAACCTGAGGTCAGAGCGACCATGCGCCCGCGATTGCGATGGCCGTCAGCTACCTCTAGCACACGCGCACTCTACTCAAAGATGGCAGAATCTTTGGTATCGCTTCCTGAGGTTGAGCAGGTCAGCGATCGGGTTATCAGGGTCCTCGGCGGCAACCCCAGCAAGGTGAGCGCCGTTATCATTTAAGGAACGGCGCGATCTGACAAAGCTCAAGTTCACGCTGCAAGGTACATGCGGTTGCAATATTACGGTTAATATGTTCTAAGTAAATTAGGCACGAACACGTACATAGTTGGTCGTGGCGCATCACGACTGCTCATTGACACTGGCGAAGGCAAACCGCAGTGGATAGCGTCGATCAAGTCGCTCCTTTCAAAGGAGAACATCGCCATCGATAAAGTGCTATTGACGCACTGGCACCACGATCATATCCAAGGCGTCCCCGACCTACTCGCGCACTGTCCCGACACGAAGGTCTACAAGAACGATCCGCACGACGACTGGCTCGCGATAAGTGATGGGCAGAAGTTTGAGACGGAAGGCGCGACCCTACGTGCCTTCTTCTGCCCGGGACATACCACAGACCACACAGCTTTCGTGTTGGAGGAAGAAGATGCCATGTTCACGGCGGACAACGTATTGGGTCAGGGCACAGCCGTATTCGAAGATCTGGCAGCGTACATGAAGAGCCTCGACGCCATGTCGACGCAGTTCAGGGGTCGCGCATATCCCGGTCATGGGCCTGTCATCGAAGATGGTCCATCAAAAATCACTGAGTATATAAAACACCGCAAGCAGCGTGAGAAACAGGTGTTGGATGTACTTGCGGAGAGTCAAGGCATGGGTTCTCTGGATATCGTAAAAGTAATCTATAGGGAGTACCCAGAGAACCTTTGGGAACCGGCGGAGAGGGGGATACGCCAGATTCTCGACAAGCTTAAGCAGGAAGGCAAGGTGGGCGGTGACAAACTGTGGGTACTTAGTGGGAAGAGCAGTCTTTAGATGTTCTAATGACACATAGTTTGACATGGCTAAATTCTGATAAGCGCCCAAGTGACTTAACTGCGCCCCACCACGCCCAAGTTCATGTACGATGACCCAAATCATTGCGCAGTGCGAGCCTGGCACAACCCGTCCTAGTGATAGATGCATTGAATGCAGAATTTCTCATCAAACCATCAGTCGCGGTGCCAGAGTGGTTAATGGGTTAGACTTGAATTCTTCATTCAGTCATCTAATGGCTTCGGCCTCGCAAGGTACATAGACCCAAACCACACATCAGGGCCCCATCTAACGGAGACATTTAGTTCGAATCTTGTCCGCGACGTTGTATTTAAGGCCTGTAGAGAGTGGCATCTTTTTTGCGCGGTTGTGGTTGAGGTTGAGGGTGAAATGGTGGAATTTTGGGGCCACCCAACCGCCCAACTTTTTGCACCACCACGACACTAAGACTTGTAATCTTGTAACAATTACCGCTTACTGCGCTTCACAAACACAAACAATAATAATACTTCAAGGTTCATAACAAACGTCCATCCTCTCAGAAGTCAATTCCCCCAGGGCTCCTTTTGTACTTTCCAAAAGCACCACCACCACTTTGCGCTGCTAGTTTTCTAGCATACAAACCTTCATGTCCTGGCTTACAAACTATCCTCCGCTGTGCTTTTGTTCGGTTACTTTTTGTTATATCAGTGCATCACGTGGTAAGACGTCGCGATGAGATAGCAAGCCACCGGTCTACGAAGAATGGGCTTGTTAAGGCACTGCTGTCGTTTGATTTGTTCTGCCCTATTGCCGCTTGATGTATGCTTGAACGAGTACTAGCTGTCCGTAGAGTTGTCTACATAGTTGTCGACACGCGCAACGGCACAAGACGTCCAGTGGACGGCAATAATTTGTGTTGCATTTCCGGGTTTTGCTACATACATACTATTATAACGCAGTGAGTATATAGTGTCTTGGATAATGTATACTTCTAGTAAGAAAATAGCCCTAACAACTTTGTTGAGGATGCGACCCAAATTGTTGCCGCCCCTGGTGAGGGCTGCGCCCACCGGGTCCTCGCTTACTCAATGGCGTTCTTTCCCTTAGACCCCGCGCAATTCCACACCTCAAGTGCGCATTCTACCAGCGACGAAACGCCAAGCTCCCGAGGTCCTTCAGAACGCAAGAAAAAGTCATGGATTTGACTGACGATGCCGAAAACATGGTGCAAGATCACACCGATGATGATGACGAAAGTGTCCAGTCAGATGACGACATCGGAATCACAAGCGGCAATGGTCTCTCACAGCCTACGAACGCGCGCATTCAAGTCTCGAAGACTTTCCGGCAAGTTGGTCTGTATGGGATGCGTAGACAGAACTAACTAGTATGGCCTAGTCTGAGAGGACCCATGATCACGCTCGTGATCGGACCAGCGCACGAGGCCGTGTCGATCTAAGTCCATCAAGATATTCTTACAAGAACTTCTGAATTCTTCGCCCGAGCCCTGAAGCCTGAATGGGCGGCCATGCGGGAGAGGCCGGATTATATTGAGCTACCCGCTTACACAGTAAAAGATGTTGAAACCTACGCACACTGGTTGTACTCTGGAAAAGTGCCAGCCAGGTGCTTCGATCTCTGTCGAACCTTCCATGATCAAGAGGAGAACAATCCAGTTTGGATCGACCTTGCGAACGCATACGTGTTTGGTGAGCAGATACTGGACCGACATTACCAGCAGACTGTTCTCAACACCATGGCTGGTATTCAAAACGATAGTTATGATGTCGCAGATAAGCCACCGCACCGGAGAATTCTCTGTATACCAGATTTTCCTTCTGAGGAGGCTATGCGTGTTCTTTACCGTGGCACACCCGAAAGCTCGCCCATCAGGGCGTTAGCCGCGGACATGTGTGCATATGCTACCCTTCAGGACGAGGATCGAAGGCCAGACTTCAATCGCTTGCCTCGCGAAGCATTGGTGGACGTTCTGGATGCGATACCAAGGATAAATTCGATACAGAAACTTTCGCGCCCATGGGATGAGTACACGGAAGGTTATTGGCCTATGCTGAACGAAGTCTGAGAAATGTATGTTCACTACCAGTTTGTATTGTTCGTGCGCTATCGCAAATCTAATTAACTCTAGCCGACCTCGCAGCAATCCGTGGACTCACAACTTCTCTCGCCACCGCAGATATGTTTCAACATGTTACTAGCATACAAAATTATTTACGCCATTCACCGATGACAACACCATCAGCGACTAAAGGGTGGCGACTTTCCTGCTGTACACTATTCAGGCAAGAGAAACTATGTAACACCAACCTCCGTCCCTCTCAAAGGACAAGGTCGCGTAGAGCCTACGTCAACGTTAGATTGCCTACTTTGTATAGTGTTGCTTCAAGGTATCCTGCAGCCCTGTTTAAGGTCTACCTTGCAATGAGATCTGCATGTGCTCACAGCATGTGCGCGTTTTTGGTACGAGGTGTCTTCTCTCTAATAATAGAAGGAAGCTCATCGTGCGGCACTGGGGCATTTTCAAAGTTCGATTCGTCAACGAAGACTTTCCTCACGATACAAACTAGACTAGCAGGTTTCCTCGTTTGCCTACAAAAGGTTGTTGCTTTGTTGAACGTCTGATGCATGAATGCGGGCACAGCGCAGTTAAATAACACAGTATATAATCGCAAGACAGGTAGATTTCCTGAACACCTTGTTTCACAGTATGCAGCAGTATATACTCTTCTAAATGTTCTAGTATTTAAAACTAAGCCATGAAGTTCGGTGCGTCCCACTACAAAAGGTTATACCTTAGAGGTTTGACGATGCCTGGAAGATATTCAGCGTACGCTACGATGCGCGATTGTGAATGTCTTTCACTTCAGTTACATTTCACCCATCACCGCTATCGCAACCACGCTGGACAATGTATCGCAGTGCCCGGTGGCTGTCCCCAATCGGTACGTGCACCCGCGCCGACGGACTGAGTAGCTGCCGTTCTACCACTCCCCTGGCCTATATAAACCCTCGATTCCTCGACTCAATGCTCACCACTGCACTGCTTTACTCTACTCCACTCAACCAGAACTTCCATCAAACTCCACCAAGAGTCACCTGAGCCTCATTTTTAAGCAAACGTCAGCAATCACAAAGATGGGAGGCAAGAATAAGAAGAAGGGCGCCTCCGGCGCCGATGGGGTGGCCAGTTCCAGCAAGAAAAAGAAGGGACGCGGCGGCATGAGCGACAAGCAAGAAGAGAACAAGGCCAGAACCTTGGAGGACCTTAACTCTTCCTCAGCTTGGGATCGAGATGATGCCGAAGACGATGCGACACGCGAACCGGATGACGTTGCCGAAACTTCCGAAGAGCCCATCGAATCCACTCCGACTATAGAACAGGCACAGGATATCACTGAAACTGAGCCAGTCAAGAACGACGACCCGCAGGACGAGCTTCCACAGCAAGAGCCCGATGTCGCCGAGTCTGAGATACCTTGGACTACGACGCCGTCAACGCGAAAGAATAAGGCAAGCAACGTTTCAGACGCTGCAGATGTCTCTAGTGATACCCTTCCGAGCAGCCAAGCCCCTACCGAATCATGGTCTTTTGGTGAGAAAGGCGTCGCAGATGTTGCGAAGTCTCAAGATGCTGGGCAACTCCAAGATGCTGAGCAGCTCCACGATACCACAAACTTTGAAGACGATCTAGGCGATAAGCTCAAGCATCTTTCGCTCGAAAAACAGACATCAAAAGAAGAAGCTGAAGTAACAGATGGCGAAGAGAAGCAGGGCGCAATCGTTTCAGCTGACAACGTTGTGTGCCGGCCAAAGATTGAGGATGAAGCAGCACCTGAAAATCTTAGCGACGAGTCATCAGCTCCTCTCGAAGCTCATCGGGCGCTGTCACCGCCGCCTCTCAAAGCACAGCTTGAAGAACCCCATGAGCCTACCGAGAATCTGGGGAACAAAGCACGAGCGTCGTCCGAATTGCCTGTCCAAAAGCCGAAGCCCAACGATCGACTTGTACCACCTACTCAGGAAATCGTAAAGCAGCCTGCGACTGCACGAACCCTTGCTGATAAGCCACAACTGCCGAGTAAGCCTCAGTCCTCTACTGAGGTCCAACAAACCCAAGCACCATCACCGGCACAGTTGCAGCAGCCTCCCAAGTCCAAGCCACCCACTCAAGTTCAACACACCCAGACAACACCGCCGGCACAACCTCCCAAGGCCAAGGCGCCTATTCAGGCCCAAGCACAATTACCGGCACAGTCACAACAGTCTGACAAGTCTATGACTTCTGTTCAAGCTCAAGGTACCCAAACAGTGCCATGGACACCTCCGCTGCCCCCAGTCAAACCTAAGAATCCTACCCGAGACCAAGGCACCCAAACTGAGCTATGGTCACCTCCACGGCCTCCAGTCGAGCCCAAGAATCCTACCCGAGACCAGGGCACCCAGACAAAGCCATGGGTTGAGCCACAGCCGCCGGCCAAACCCGAAACTATCACCCGCAACCAAGGCGCCCAGACACAAATTTCGTCTTCGTCAGCCCCGGAGCCAAAGTCTCATGGTAGGGCGGAGCCTCCTCTTCGAGGAATCTTAAAAAAGTCTAAGGCTTCGCCGTCAGCTTCGCCGTCAGCTTCCACTCGGCCGCAGAACCAAGAAATCGAGATCCCCGATGGCCGGCGAGCACCGCGACCTTCCAATTCCGCCACGCCATCAGCTTCCACCCGGCCGCAGAATCAGGGAAGCGGCTTTCCCTATGGTCGGCCAGCACCGCTGTCTAACGGTCTCGCACAATCTATCCAGAACCGGCGATCGTTGGAACCAGAGCGGAACAACCATGGCACGGCTAGGTCGACTTATGGCTCAGCAAGCGGAACACCACTCGGAAGATCCAACGTGCCTGCAACGCCTCCGGTTCGACCAACTCCAGATCAACGCAGATCACCTCGACCAATCCTAATCCAAGCGGACCCTGATTTAGTTGTAGAGCTGGTTGTAAATCACCAGTATGACAGATCCGCAATAGCTTACCAACACACCCTGGCGAGGAACACGGATTACTTCATTGAACCTGGAAACTTATACCCAGCTTCTGGAAAAGTGAGGACCCACTTCGTGGGCGAACAATTCTCCAGCCGAGTGGTCAAAGAATACGTGGAGTGGCTAGGTCGTGGTAGGCTTCCTACCATGGCTTCCCTTGGTCGACTCACTCCTTCTACCGCTGACGAGGTTCTCATGTTCTTGGCTCGTGCATACGTTTTTGGCGAGCGGATCGACGACAGGGCTTGGATGAACGATGTCATGGATTGCTTTACCTATGTGCATATCCATGATTGGCGCCTCGAGCTGGACGATGTCATCTTATTCACGTATAAGTTTTCGGTTTCTCATTCACGGCTACGTACGCTTTTGGCGGATATGTTCGCGTACCTTCTCCCTAACCCTGAGCAATTGCTGTCTCAGGATGGCATTCCACTAGTGCAGGAATTGAGGGACCTGCCGTCAGCATTCTATCGCGCTGTACGATGCGAGATGACGCAGAGGACAAATTGTACGCCCTCGTGCTGGCGCGCCCGTCTCGACCACCCAGAGCATTACTATGTTGATGAAGAGGGAGAGGGTGGGCTTTCATGGAGACAAGCGCCTGATTGTGGGCATGGCGAGGCTAAATCGATGAGGTGAAATGTCATGTTTTGGAATTTTTCAGGGTAGGACAAGTACCTTGTAGTGTGTAAGAGCAGCTGTAATGGAAGCATGAAACGGAATACCATCTGCTCGTTCTTTCGGTTTCTATATGTGATCCCCTGGTCCCGCGAAGTATGTATCGGGACACAGAAATCTTAATGAATGCCGCCATTGAATGTGCAATGCATACGAGACATACATCACATCCTTTCTTGGGTGGAGGGGTTAGAAGAGTTCACTCCGCTTCCGCTCTACATTGTCCGGGGAGACCACGAACATCAGTCGCCGTACTTTCCCCCAGATGAACAGGTAAGAGGGGATGTGGAGACCCCACGTTTCTGTCTTGTACTGGAACTGAGCTGATGAGTGATCGAAAGACGTAGTGACGTCGTGCGTGATAACGGAAAAATGACAGGTCGGCGGTTAGAATTACTGTCCCTTCAGTAGCGCGGCCCACTTGTCGGCGACTCTTTCCTTCCGACGCTGATCGGGGTTAGTCCAGCACCTAGCTTCCACTAACCTTCGCTTGAAGCAGGAATTCCCGCCGCGACCTCCACTTTCGCCGGCAGCTTTTCCCTTGAGATGGTCAGCTTTGAAAGGACGTTTACCCAACTGGACGACTGCACAGCGCGGAACGACGCGAGCCTAATTTTGGGGAATCCGGGGTAGCACTGGCACGCTCGCGCGCGTTTTCTGGGGTCTCCGAGCACCCCATACGGTCACCGCGGCCTTTGAAGATGCGGAGAAAGGCGTATGACGCCGGCAGCAGGGGTTTTGAAGGTTTGCGGAGCCAATGCCAGCCTCTCAGAAGCAAATTCGGAGACCAATGTCACGCGATCTAATTTCAAGATTAGCATCAAGACGTTCATCATGCAATTGCTACAGATTCTCACGATCCGTAGCAGAGCAGCTCGGTCAGTCTCGGACGCAAGGGTCCCACAGAAACTTCGAGCGAATCTTCCGATCCAAGCGGCGTAGCCTCAACAGCACAAACCCCACATGCGCACACCGCGCTGGCATCTCAAGTCACCCACGAACCTAACAGACAGAAGGTCGCAAGAGGTAGGTGTGAAGCTGAGCTAACGTGAAGCCGCTTCAGAAAACGCCGGCCGTGGTCGTTCCTAGCATTCCATCCACACTCCTTGGCGTTCGTTCTGGGAAGTCATCGGATATGTGCGCCTAACGGCAGTCAGACGCCTGACACTAGCGTTGGCAGATACTGTACATGGTGTGGACCCACCGGACAAGAGTTAACGCGGTATCAAGCGAGATATCGAAAGTGCATAAAGCGGTCGATTGCCTCCTCGCATTCACTACTCCCTCCTAGCCAGGCCATCCACTACACAGGCGATTTCAACAAGACACGATCCATATCACTGCACGTCATCATGGGTGGACAAGATTCGATCAAGAGCGCCCCTTATGAGCAGCGCGAGGCAATGTCTCCGTTCCCTAGCAAACAGGGAACGGTGACTCGGGAGCCTTATGGACCAGCAGGTATGCATATCACTTTGTGGAACCTCAATCACACGTGGGCTAATCCCAGAGCCAGGTTTCCGCGGCCTCTTCTCCAACCCTTACGTTGCCATGTGTGCAGCCTTTGCTACGATTGGAGGTCTTCTCTTTGGATACGATCAGGGTGTCATTTCCGTAACGCTCGTCATGGATCAATTCCTCGACCGGTTTCCGCGTGTCTCGAGTGAAGCTTCAGGAGCTGGTTTCTGGAAGGGCCTGATGACTGCTATGCTGGAGTTAGGCGCACTGATCGGTGCCCTTTTTGCCGGCTGGATTGCAGACAAACTCTCCAGGAAGTATTCCATCGTCGTCGCAGTCGTCATCTTCACGATCGGAAGCATTCTACAAACAGCAGCAATGGACTACGCCATGTTGACGGTCGGACGTTTGATCGGAGGATGGGGAATTGGAGCGTATGTTGAGCCATGTTTGTACACGGGATAGATGCTAACCACGCGTAGTCTTGCAACTATCGCCCCACTCTACATCTCTGAGATTGCGCCACCGGAGATCCGCGGTGCTCTTCTCGTCCTGCAGGAGTTCAGCATCGTCCTCGGCATCGTGATCGCCTTTTGGACAACCTATGGTACACGCTTCATGGCCGGCGAATGGTCATGGCGTCTCCCGTTCCTTATCCAGATGATTCCTGGTCTTATTCTGGGTGCTGGCATTGTTTTCCTGCCTTTCTCTCCAAGATGGCTCGCCAGCAAAGGCCGCGACGACGAAGCCCTAGTCGTCCTGGGCAAGCTCCGCAAGCTTCCCACTGACGACCCACGCATCTTCCAAGAATGGTGCGAAATCCGCGCAGAAGTTACCTTCAACCACGAAGTGAGCGTTGAGAGGCACCCTGAGTTACAGGCCAAAACTCGCACGAACGAGTTCAAGCTTGAGGTTCAGTCTTGGCTCGACTGCTTTAGACATGGATGTTGGAAGCGCACTGTCGTCGGAGTTGGCATCATGTTCTTCCAGCAGTTTGTTGGTATGTTCCTCCTTACCCCGACGTGAGAAAATACTAACACAACTCTAGGTATCAATGCGTTGATCTACTATTCGCCCTCTCTTTTTGAAACACTAGGCCAGGACTACGAGATGCAGCTTCTACTTTCCGGCATCATCAACTGCACGCAGCTCGTTGGTGTCGCAACAAGTCTATGGACCATGGATCGCTTCGGGCGCCGGCCACTACTCCTCACCGGTGCTGCTCTCATGTTTATCTGCCATCTCATCATCGCTGTCTTGGTTGGCAAGTTTGGTGGACGATGGCTGGACTTTGCAGTAGAAGGCTGGGTTGCCGTTGCCTTCCTATTCTTCTACATGTTCAGCTTCGGTGCTACTTGGGGACCCGTCCCGTGGGCTATGCCTTCGGAGATCTTCCCATCTTCCTTGCGAGCAAAGGGCGTTGCACTCTCAACGTGCTCCAACTGGTTCAACAACTTCATCATCGTAAGTCTTCCCTTCGTCTTTACTGTCTGTGACTAGCGACTGACCTGTATACCAGGGGTTGATCACTCCTCCTCTTGTTCAAAACACCGGCTACGGAGCCTACACCTTCTTCGCCGTCTTTTGTGGACTCGCCTTTGTTTTCACATTCTTCGTAGTCCCGGAGACATCTGGCAAGACTTTGGAGGAGATGGACCAGGTTTTCAAGGATGTCAGCAGTGAGGCAGAAGAGCAACAAAAGGCGCGCATCATGCGCGACATCATCGCAGGCAAACAAAACGAGACTGTCACCACAACCGCAGTCCCTTGAAGCAGGACAATTGCTCAGCAAGGAGGCCAGTAGATTTTGTAATTAGCGAGACAATTATTCGGTTTATTCTTATCACAGCTTCGCGCACTACGATTGGAATTTGAATGATACAATCGATCGAAGGACTGGGCTTACGATGCGCAGTCTCATAGTGCACGATGAGCGGGTCGCTCCTGCTCGCCTCCGGTGAAAGACGTTGTGACATGCGACGTACGTGCAACGCAAACTTCTTGGCTCGCTACCTCGTATCATGATGATTGTTTGGTTGAGTATCGTATTGTAACGATGACCACGCAACGTCGCGATGGATGTAATGATGCTATTCGATTGCGCCCGGTTTGCCTATTCGAGAACACGAATTTCCGCCTGACGAGATCTGGCAATGAATATCTAGACGTTGTGATGAGCGCTACATGTTAAGGGAAATGTAGTGCAGAACAAAGACATGATTTAGCATGTGCATCTCATGCTAGTTGCGTAAGACATGTTTGTCCGGAGCAATCTTGTATTTGACGCCTGAAGCCATATCTATACTGCTTAGGTACGCCAAAGCTGAGCTGCATTCAGAAGCATCGCGGAAAGAACACCTGGAATGTAAAGACGCATGTCATCAGATTGACAGGTGTACGCGTGCTTTGCTGTTCAAACACCTCGCCGAGTTGTGCGTCGAGCTCCATGCTCCCTGTGACGTAAAAAGATTGCCTTCAAAAGGAGCTCCGCGGGAGAGAGCGCATCACCGCTCTGCCCCAGAAAACACGTACGGCATTGCCATCTTCTACTTTCCACCCGTCATCGTGCTCGTGCCATCATTTCACTCCCAGATCCTCGATAGCCGATTATCTCCACGTTCTGCGCCAAATTGCGAGGCTTCCCATCGCCAAACTTTTGCAGCTGGGCCGTTAGGGTTTCCCAACTTTCGCCCCGCGCCACCCTTCCCAGTACAGCATCATGACCCGACTGACTCCAAGGCCGCGATAATTCCGTAGAACTGCGTGTTGGTTGTCCCAGCA